TTTATATTATTTTTGTGCTGCTACTGGGTATCAAGACTCAGAGTCTTGATACTGACCCTATGCTTTTACTACTCAAGCCTGGGACTGCCACTTGAGTCTCAGTTTCACCTCTAGCCTTTTTTGGTGAATAGTTATAGGTAAGAGTGTTAATGGACTTTCTTGCCCTGGCTGGCTTCAAGCTAAAATGTTCAGATCTCATACTTCTGTGTAGCTAGGATTACAGGTGTGAGCCACTGGGTGCCTGGCTATTTTTATTTTTTGTTAGTATATAGAAGGGAATTTCAGTGTTACATTTCCATACATGTTTATAATATATGCTAATTACTCTCATCTCCTCTATCATTCTGCTTTTACCTTGTCCTGACTTGTACAGGTAGATGCCCAAGAGTGGTATGACTGGGTCATAAGGAAGTGCTATGTTTAGATTTTTGAGGAACCTCCAAACTGCCTTCTAGCATGGCTGTACTAAGTTTACATTCCTACCAACAATGCAGTAAGATTCCTTTTTTCCTACATTGCCGCCAGCATTTGTTGTTCTAATTCTCCATGTTGGCCAATCTAACTGGAATGAGATGGAATCTCAAAGTTTTTTTTATTTGCATTTCATTTTATGGCCAGGGATGGTGAGCATTTCTTTATGTGTTCTTCTGAGAAGCCTCTCTTGAGCTCCTTTGTCCATTTATTTATATATTTATTAGTTTGGGGAGGGGTCAATTTCTTGAGCTCCCTGTATGTTTTGGATATTAGGCCTTTGTCAGTAGAATTGCTAGTAAAGATCTCCCAGTCTATTGATTTTTTTTAGTTTAATAACTATGTCCTTTGCTGTGAAGAAACTCTTTGGTTTGATGTAATACTGTTTGTCAATCTCTCCTATCTTTTCTGCCTCCAGAACTCTTCAAAATGTTTCTGCCTATATTCCTTGTAATCGTTTCAAAGTTTCAGGTCTAATATTGAGGTCTTTTTTGAAATTTTACTTTTTTAAATGTCATTGTAAAGATGGAGCACAGAGGGGTTACAGTTACATAAGTCAGAGATTGAGTACATTTTTAAACAATTTTATTGTTATTATAAAGGTGATACACCGAGTTGATGCAGTTATATACATTAGGTAAAGAGTACATTTCTTTTTTAACAGTGTCACCCCTTCCCTTATACTCTCCCACTTTTTCCCTTCTGACCCCACCCACATGTTGTATAGTTCATTTTTAACATAATGTCTAGTGAGTACCATTGCTGCATTTGTTCATTTTTGTCCCTCTATTTCTGTGCTCCCCTTGCCCTCCCAAAGGCAGATGATGAAAAGAAAACAAAAACAACAAAGAAAAATCCTCTTGTTTTCATTTCCTGGAGTTCATTTTGATAAATATTATTTTATATGATCAGAGGCACCATAGATATTGCACTTCTGTGTTCTACTCACTGTTCTTCTTACTATATGTGGATGCCTAGAATCCTGGATAATTTATCATGTCCTAGTATATTTTAGATCTGGCTTCAGCATATGAGAGAAAATATATTAAGGTTGAGGTCTTTGATCCACTTTGAGTTGATATTAGTGCATGGTGAAAACATCTACTTTTAGTTTTCTTTATATAGATGTCCAGTTTTCCCAACATAATTATTAAGGTATGTTCATAATTATAAGATATATTCCCACTGTATATCTTTGACTCCCTTGTCAAATACCAGATAACTGTAAGTATATGGCATATGGCTTTATTTCTGGGTCTTCTATTTCATTGATCTTCAGGGCCATTTTTGTACCAGTATCAAACTGTTTTAGTTATTTTAGCTCTGTAGTAGATAATGAGGTCTGACATCGGGATACCACCAGGATTGCTGATTTAGCCTAAAATTGCTTTGGCCATTGAAGGTTTTCTTGTTATTACATATGAATTTTGGATTCTTTTCTCTATTGTGGTGAAGAATGTCATTGAGATTTTGATGGAGAGTGCATTGAACTTGTAGATCACCTTTGGCAGTATGCCATTTTCACAATATTAATTCTACCTATTCTTGAACATGGGAGGTCTTTTCATGTCCTGATGTTGTCTTAGATTTCTTTCTTCAGATTTTTATAGTTTCACTTTAGACATCTTTCACATCCTTGGTTAGGTTTATTCTTTAATGTTCTGTTTCTTTTAGGCTACTGCAAATGGAATTGTTTTCCTGATTGCCATCTCTGATTGCACATTATTAGTGTACAGAAAAACTACTGGTTTTTGTAGGTTGATTTTGTATCCTGCTAGTTTGCCAAAGTTATGGATCAGCTCTAGAAACTTGGGAGGTGGAGTCTCTTGTGTTCTTTAGATATAAAATCATGTTATCTGCAAATGGGAATAGTTTGACTTCTTCTAGGTGAATTCCTTTGATTTATTTTTTTATTATTTTTGGCCTGGCTAGGAGTTCTGGAATTACACTGGAAAAGAGTAGAGAGAGTGGACATCTTGCCTTGTTCCTGATTTTAGAGGAGAGTGTTTTAGTTTAGTTTTTTTTGATATTGGCTGTTGGTCTGTCATAGATAGGCTTTATTAAGTTGAGGTATGTTCCTTCTATTCCTAGCTTCACCAGAATTTTTAACAGGAATGGATATTCAATTTTCTCAAAAGCATCTGTTAAGATGATCATGTGATTCTTGTCTTTGGCTCTGTCTATGTTGTGTATTATGTTTATTGATTTACATATATTAAACAAAGTTTTCATCTCTGGGATAAAATCCACTTGATCATAGTGTAAAATTTTTTGATTGGTTATTGAATTCTGATGGCAAGAACTTCATTAAGAAACTTTGTGTCAGGGGCTGGGAAGGTGGCTCAGTGGTAGAGCGCTTGCCTTGCATGCATGAGGCCCTGGGTTCGATTCCTCAGCACCACATAAGCAAAAAGAAAAAAGC